CCTGCTCTGATATCATTCTCTAGCCTCTTGTTAGCTTCTGAAGGCTCCTTTGTGCTCCTGCTCTACCTGTTCCACTTTTCTCTATGTCCTCAATACCCTTTTTAGGTAAAACTCTCATGAAATGAAGGTTTACGTAGCATTCCTTATTATGCTACACAGCACAAGAGTTGTTTTATAGAAATCACATTAACTATAATAGCTAAGGGTTCAAAGAACTTGAGTCTTAATAGGAATAGCTAATAGGTAAATTTATTGAGCACTTATTATGTGGTGGGTGCTTTACATTTATTGCCTGATTCAATTATCTCAGTGATGTAATGAGAAAGGTACTAATTTTCTGTAATCCTCACTCTACTGATGAGGGAACTGTTGAAGATCATAGGGGCTAAGTAACTTGCTAGAGAGTCAAACAGCTAGTAAGTGGCAGAACTGGGACCAGAACTAAGTTTGTGTGTCTCCAGAAACTGTGCCTCTTAGCCATTTGATTATACTGGATGTAACATAATGTAATTGGGAAAAGCAATGACGTAAAACTAAGCTCTTAGCTATTTTATTACATTAGATGCATCACGACATAATTTTAAAGAGCATGATTTGTTTTGTGTTGAATAGAGAGATTTGGGCTCAGATCTTGGTCACTTCCAGTTTTAACCGTACAATCTTAAGCCAGTTATTTAGAACTTAACAGGACCTTCAAAACTTTGCATGATCTGGGTCCTGTCTAGCATCCAATCTTTTCTCTCATTTCTCTACAGTTATACACCAGGCTCAAGTCCCACTGGCGCTTCCTTTGGCTCCTCAGTCAAGCTCTTTCCTCTCTTAAGGAGCTTTGCAAATAATGCTTCTGGGAATACTGTCACCTGCCTAATTCTGACTCATCTTTTAGCACTTTCTCAGGCCTTTCTCCAACCTTGATGTAAATAAAGTACCTCCTATTATTCTTTCATAGCCCATGCAAGTGAAGTGTTCGTTATATATTTTCATATTTCATGTCTGTTTCATTCGATCAGGGGTCCATAAACTGTAGCCTGCAAGCGAAATCCAAACGCCCTGTTTTTGTCAGTAAAGCTTTATTGGAGCACAGCCACACAGGTTCATTTACATATTGCATATGGCTTTTAGACTCCTAGGGCAGAGCTGAGTGACTGAGACAGAAACTGTATGGCTCACAAGGCTAAAAATATTTGCTCTGCGGTCCTTTACAGAAAAGTTTGCTGACCTCCCCCCCAACGCCCCCCTCCCTCACAAAGCAGAGGATAAGCTAGATGAGATTCTTGTTCACCGCTGCATACTTAGTGTTAGGTATACTGCAGTCTAGTAATATTTGTTGATTTCACAAATAAATGAATTATTCAGCCATAAAATGGGACTTATTAATAAAAATTAATCAGAATTTATCTATATAGTTCTTGGCATATAATTGGTAACTACTTTTATTAAATTGTCTGAAAATTTCTGTAAGATAAATGAACAATTCATAACGTTATTTTTACATACTTGCTTAAGAAATCCATGTTGTTTAAGCACGTAACTAAGAAAGAAGTTTTTGTAAGCTTGGAAATGTCAAAAAAAATTTTAAACAAAAAATGGCTGTCAATTTTTATTCTCACCTAAACTATTTTATGTATTGAAATTTCTGAATTTTAGCTGTTCCCTACTTCCATCATGAAAGACAGCTAAAGTAAAGGTAAAATTCAATTTAAATAGCGTTCTGTTCACAACAGTTTTATTTCTTAGTGATATACAACTTATCACATCAGTGCTGTAATATTTCATTTCACACTTGAAGTCAGTATTTCTTTTTCTGGCAAAAACATACCTTGTTCTGTATATAGCCAAATAAACAAGTGCAGCAGCAGAGCAGTTTTGGACAACTTTTAAGAAAAGATGACAGTGAGCCATTGTGTGAGGTTCTACTAGAGAGTCTACAGTGGGGCGGCTTCAAAGAGGGCACAACAGCTAACATTTTTCTTTGGAACATGTGAACTTGTAGTTGAAACAAAGCCCAGGTTATAGGTGCCTCTACACAGTATGGTATGCTATTTCACATTTGCTGGTTTTGTTTATCAGAAGTGACTTACATATTTTAGGCTCTTTCCCAAATGACTCTTACAACCTCTCTCATAGTAGGTGAGAGGTGCACAAGACAAGCATTTATATGTAAGATGTTTAAAATTATTAATAGTCATCTAAAATAATCCCTCAAATATATATTCAAACATGGCAGATTTCAGTTTTACTAATTCTGTTTAAAAGTATTGAACTTGCAGGCCTACGGTATCTAACGACTGGAGAAAAGAATAAATATATCCTAAATACTAAAGAATAAAATCAAGAAATCTATCTTCAGAATTCAAAAAAAAAATGATAAGTCAAACTAAGCTGAATTTAAATAATTTTTCTTCTTCTAAAGTTATTATGACTTCTAACATGAATGAGAGTAACAGAAATTGTAGCTGTAACTACATTTAAACAAAGAAAAGATGTTCAATTATTAGCTCAAAAGTATGATGTTAAAATTCTTTTTTTTGTTGTTTTTTCCTTTGTTGTTGTTTTTTGAGTCAGAATCTCACTCTGATGCCCAGGTTGGACTGCAGTGACATGATCACGGCTCACTTCAGTTTGACATTTGGGCTCCAGTGATCCTCAAGTAGTTGGGAACACAGGTGTGTGCCACCACCACATTCAATTAATTTTTTTAACTTTTTTTTTTTAATAAAAGACCACATCTCCCTATGTTGCCCAGGCTGGTCTTGAACTCCTAGGCTCAAGTGATCCGCCTCCCAAAGCACTGGGATTACAGGCATGAACCACCACTTCCGGCTTTAAAATTCTTGTATCCCTAGAAATTCTGTCATTGGCTACAACATGGGTGAAACTAACTGGAGGACATTACGTTACATTAAATAAGCCAAGCACAGAAGGACACATTTTGCATGTTCTCACTCATGTGTGGGAGCCAAACATTTTTTTTAAAATTGAACTCAGAGACAGAGAGTAGACTGATGGTTACTATAGGCTGAAAAGGGTAGCTTGGCATGGAGAGAGGAGGGGATAAAGTGGGTACAAAAATAGATAAAATGAATAAGAACTACTATTTCATAGCACATAGGGTGACTACAGTTAACATGAATTTATCATATATTTAAAAATAATTAAAAGAGTAGAATTGGAATGTTCCCAATACAAAGAAATGATAAATGCTTGAGGTAGGTATAACTCGATTACCCTGATTTTGATCATTTCTCATTGTTTACCTGTATCAAAACATCACGTGTCCCGTATGATATACAACTAGTATGTACCCATAATAATTAAAAATAGAAATTAAAAAAGTCTTGTATCCCTGCGTTTTGTTTTTCTTTATAAAGCATAATAAAAGCTTATGAATTCAACCTGCAAAAATTTTCTTCTCACTTTGCAAGCAAAAGAAGATCCAATAAATCTCATAAACCTAAAAACTATCTGGTATTGGTAATAAAGTGTAAATGCTAATTCATATGTTTTTGACTCTACTCAAAATAAGTTCTGGTCCAATTAACAAGGTCCAACCAGTGTTACATGATGTTCAATATTTCAGTCTTAATTTCAGTTTCAGGCTATTGGCTAATTTAAAATTAGTGGTTTTCTATTGACACAACTGTTGCTTTTGGGCTTGGTCCACAGCAAGAAACAAGGTGCATGAAAACACTAAAGGAATCCACCATAAATCTTAGCATTATTCACCCTTTAGTTCAACATGCAGCCAAAAATAGTTCACGTCATGTGTACCTTAAAACAGATAATAATTTAGAGAAGTATAAACTTGAAAACCTGAAAGTTTCTCTACTTTTTAATGGCCTACTGACTTTGATGGTATAAATAATAATTTCTATTCATTATAATTTACACATGAAGCAACATTGCATTTTAAAAAAATGAATCAATCAGTTCTAGTCCTATTTATAAGTCCAAGAAGACCAAAAGGGACAACAGAGGACATGAGTGTGTATATTTGTGGGGAAATTATAGTCTGGTGGCTGTCCCCAAGGATGTTATGTAGCCTTCTTCAGTGTAACTGGGCAGTAGGCAAAACACTCTTCTCTTCCACACTCCAAAAACAGCTTCTCTGCAGCTTCCATGATCCATATGAGGTGGGTGGGACCCAGCAGTATTGTAATTTCTCCCAGGACCATTATTTGATATTTAACGTTAGACAAACTACCCAGCTGTCCTTACATAGCCTAACTAAACCCACTCTCTCCAAGTGTGAAGAAAAATAGAGTCAAATTGCAGGCATTCGTGATACCCAAGTCTTTAATGCTGAATTGAGCATTTGAATGTGTAAAGTCTTCACAACAGATTAATTGTATCACACAGACATTATCATTGACATTCCAGAAAAAAATTATATCACCATCTGCCTTTATGTTTATCAAATTCAGATTTAAAATGATATGAATTAACTGAGAGTTCTTGCCTATATGTTTTAAGTTATTAATATCGTGTGTGGGTGTTTTCTTTGTTGTTGTTGTCAGCACAATGTTAAAATGTTTTGGATGTATTTCAAAATCTCATATACTATGAATAAAAGGAGAGCCATTTTTATAGAGGATATTTCCCCTATATATTATAAACCTTTAAATGAATCACCACAAAAGGTCTAGTTCCCATGAATATAAGAATATATTTGTTTGATGATGCGTGCAATGTAGCAATGTTATGCTGATTAACTCTTAATTATCAAGCTATTCATGTCACACAAGTACAGTTCCCATTTAAAATTCATATTGAAGTGAAAAGTGAAGAATCACAAATGTGTAAACTGTATTTCTGACAGATAAAGTGATTTTTTTCTCCTTTATACATAAGAGACTATCAGCACTTTAACTGGCCACATTTCTTTAACCGAAACTTCTCTTAATAGATGCTTACAGATTCAAAATATTTTCAGTACCCTTAACATATGTATAGATAATATAATTAATAAATAATGATATCAAAAAGTTTACTCCACTCACCTGTCTGTTACGTTCATCCATAATCCTCGTAATCTGAATCTTTTTTCTCCCCATAGTCCCCGTTTTTCTTCTCTCTCTCGTTCCTGAAATTATGTATTTTTTCCTTCCTTTTCTTTCTCTTTCCTGTTTCCTCCAAACAAATCTCCTTCTTCAGCACTTGCACAGCTCAGTTCCCAAATTCCTGCATTCGTTCCTGCTGAACAAAAAAGAAAAATTAAATACCACTCTAACAGCAAGTCAGTTTCATAAGAAATATCATATTCTAATTTTATCAGGGAAGTAAACTATATGCAGCTGAAGCAATAAAATGAATTAAAATAACTATTTGTTAAAAGTATATGGTATATCAAAGACAGGAGCATATCAAGTAGGAATGGTTTATTTTTTAACAATTAAAATAATCTCATAAGTAATTTAACAAGTCGTTTAAGTGATGCAAACTGTGCTTTTTTAAAGACTAACACTTGAAATGTATTTTTTTGTAAAAAGTTTCCTAATCTTTTTAATGAAATTAGGTGACAGTTTCACCCTTCTGTTATGAAAAATTACCTAAATCAGAGAGTTAATGAACCTTTATGTACCTGTGTATGCTAAGTAGGGCAGCTAATTCATTTCTGAAGGGAAAACAATCTCCTGTTTTGACAGCAGAGGTGATAACGTCCCTCGTTATGCAAATAGGATGGACGATTATGAAAGTGTTATTTGATATATGTAAATGTCAACTAATTTAAATCTAAATCCTTTAATCTTACTTCAAAAAAATTACTGCTTTGAGAACACTGTAAAAATAATATGGAATATTTAATCTTACAAGTACCTATCAGCAGTGAGATCTTTTCTTTTTGAAAGCCCCTAAATTATATCTTAGATAGCAAGGATCAAAAAAGATAAGCACTGATAGAAAAGAAAAGGTGCAAAATTGAGATGATTCTCCCATTTATAACCGTATTTTTATAACAAGACATCAGTCCTCTAAATTTAAATATTTAGAAACAGACGTATCACATGTCTTCCTGGAGTAAGATATAAAACTGAAGAAGCTTCATATTACATACTGAAGATCTCTGGGTCATGAATTAAAATTAGAGAAATGATCATCAATAACATAAGCCCAAGAAACCCAGAATATTAAAAGTATATACTTCACTTTGTTTTAAATTACCTCTGAAAATGTTTGAACATAATGCAAATGAATTGCTCTGAAACGTGAAAGTTAACAAGAAAGCATTCCACGATGGTTTCTTCATTTGTAAGCAACAGCTCCAATTATTCTATTTTGTTTTAGGCCAATGAATGCAACGACTTTACACATTGCTCACAATTTCCCTGTTTATTTTAGCTGGTGTCTGACAACGGACCTGATAAATTCCCGCGTGTATTATGTAATGCTAAGCCAATGTCCTGGCTATTTAATAGATTATCTGGCTCCAATTCAAAGTTCTTAGAACAGGAAGGCTGTTACATATTTGGTCTGACCATCAGCTGTCTTTTGATTTCTTTAATTTAATTTCTAAATTCTTTATCACCTTGGGTAATTTTGTTTTAAGTTTTTGGTGATTATTTAATTGCAGAAGCTATTATGACATAATCAGTTCTGGTGGATTAAACGCTGCTTAAATACTAACTAAGACTATCCATTCTCTTTTGCCCCACGCCTCTCTACTAAACTGTAGTTCAGTTCTGCCTCTCAGAATATGTACGTTGAGTAACATTATGACCACACAGTGCTCACCAAAAACTTGCTCCAGCTGTAATTTTAAATGTTGGAGGTGGTTCAAAATTTTAAAGAGTTATAGAAACAACACACATTTGACAAATATACATAAAAAATAGTTATGGCATATTGAAATCACATTGAAATATGAAAAACCCACAAAACATAACTGCATCATATATTTGATGTTGCTAGACGCTGTCCACCTATTTTTAGAAAAAGTCTTAAATGTCACTCAATGGGGCAACTTTCCTGTGTTTCCTATGGTCTTACCTTAGAAGCAAGCAGCATGTTAAAATGATATTTTCCATGCATGTGTAAGACACCAGAGATACAAACAAGGTTTCTCTGTTACAGAAAGCCAATCCATGTATGCACAGCAAATGCATATAGGACAATTTCCTTTCCTTTCATCTAGCTGAGGCCTGTGGCACTATCGGCTTACAGGACTATGCCTGCCTAAGCGCTTATTCACTTCAAGGTGGAAGGTCAGGGTGAACAGATTAGAGTGTGGTGATAAGGCAGGACAGACAAGAACATCTCCAGATACTGATTTCAAAATACAAATAACCAAACAAGCAGCGAAACATCCTTGGAGAAAAGTCTCAGAAAGACAGAATTCCTGACTAACCAAACTTAGAAGAGTTCCTCCATAACACCACCCCATATTTCACAACTTTGAATGAGACAATTTTTAAAAAGAGCAGAGCAAGGACTTTAAACAAAATTTTTAAAACATGATGGGAAAAAAATTTGCAAAAGAGAATGTGTGTCTCTATCTATATAAGTGGTTGATTAAAATGCCATTGAATTTATTTTCTTTTTTGAAATACACAAAACAATGTAGAGAGAAGCAAGTTTAAATTTCAGTAGAACTAAACCTGTTTTCTGTATAAATAAATACTTCTTGAGGTATCTCCTTCTAAACATTTTTAAAATGCAAAAGTTCGTATGAAGTACACATGCAGAGTAATATGTGGTAATGATGACACTAAGTAACTGGTCATGAAGTAAAGTCTCATGAAACGTGGTTTAGAACATTTTATTAGGGGTCACCACATTTCAAGGCTGTCAGTAAAAATTTAAAGAATTAGGAAGGTCAACAATTAGCTCATGCATTGTTTTCTTAGCATAACATTTTCTCTAACCTAACTTTTATGCAAAAACTCTAAAGTCAGTTTCAAGTATTAATTTGCAGAAAGCCTAGAGAGGCGAAGAAAGAGATTATTTAACTTTAGTAATCTGTAAAACTGTTTTGTGTGTGTATGAAAAGGAACATAATCGCTAAACTACATGTCATAAAATTTCAAGTTATGCTGAGAAATTTCATTATGCACAATCAACCATAAACTTAAAATAATTCCAACAGCCTTGCTGCTACTTTTTCCCACATGAAAGAAGCATTCTTGGAAAATGACAGAGCTACATATAAATAATCAGTAATTTTTTAAAAAAGAATAAATACTCTACTACAGTTATACTCTGTAGGGTTACAGCCTTCTGCATTTCTTTTCTTAAAAAAAATGCCAACCCAGATAAAAGAAAACTAAAATGAAGCTGCTTACTAAAAAGGGGAACTTCATTATGGCAGGCTTCTGTTCATTTTGAGTTTGGCATAAGCAGGCAGATGAAGGCAAAGTGGTTTGAGACCCAAGTTGAGAAGAATTTCTTCTGGACAGATGCTAAAGATCATTCTCCCACTGGGCTATCTCATTTACAAACAAGTTCCCTTGAGTGACACACACCTCCCCCTCCCTTCTCTCCCTCCCTCCCTCCCTCCCTCACTCTTTCTTGCCCTCTTCCTCCCTCCCTCCCTCCTACAAATCTCTCCCAGTAGCACAGAAGAATTTTGACAGAATGGCAGGAAACACGCACACAGACTGGTCAGGGAAGGATATGATGTCAGCAACCACGAACAATAAAAGGTGTAAAGGTGCTTCCTTCCCTAAACTGTTCCAGAAGTGTAAAATGGGAACCAAAACTCTCCACTTCCTTCTCTGAGCAGAACCGTCTGAGTGTGCTGTGCTGCACAACCCACACACAGAGGCCTTGGAGAGGTTCAGATAAGGGACAATAAGGACAACTCAGAGCTGGGGCGTGATTTTTAATTTCCATCTTTAAAACACCTGAGAAAAATCCATGTCAGCTCTAGCTTAGTGTTTTATTATGATTGCTTTAAGAAATGAAAATAAGAAAACAAACATAAATTTACTTCACTGAAGTAGCAGACAGACAAATCTCAATTACTGTTTACCAGGCCTTGCAAAAATAATTGTCCACAGTTAATGCAGCCATATAATTGGAATTTACCCTTTGAGGCAAATGAAAAATTCTATGCAAGCAAAGACCCAAAATAGATAAATTAAAACTTTTGGTAAAAAAGAAAAAAAGAAAAAGAAAAAGACTCATATAAACCAGCAGGGAAAAAAAAAAATCAATGCATGCTCGTAATATGTTAATCATTTGTTTGCTCCCACATTAAAGAACAAAGTATATACTGAGGGGGAAAAGATTCTTATGGTTATTGAGTCTCTTGGGTTCTCTAAAAAAAATTCGAACTAGGAACCAAAGTAAATAACACAAACTTTGCATCTATAGTGAAACTATTTAATTCCCTCACTATTAAGTTCTAACATGGAAATGGCATTCTACATAAGGTTTCTGTAGGAAGAAAACCACATATCAAGTGGATCTGAGTCATCATCAGATTTCAATCATCTTCCCACAACACTTTGATTTAGAAGTTAAACATAACCTTCAGTTATGTGTTTTGATCTTAGAGTGAGACTGCCATGCCACATTAAAAGATGTGGGAAGAAATTAATTCTCTTCTGCTAAACTTATCTTTGCAAAGCTTGTATTTTGCTACAATAAGTACAATGCAGTCACTTAAATAAAAACAGGCTATGAATAATGATAAAACATTGAAATATGTGATGTCAGTTTTCAAAGAAAAATTCTGGTTTTCTTTTATTCGTATTAAAAATATCTTTTTCATTGATTTAATGTTTTCACTAACACTAGCATCCTCAAATAACGTTTTGTAAAAACTCAAAGCTGAAAACTGAGCACACTCTATCACACCACACTAAATAATACTGTTAAATAAATACAAGATGATTACGTCATAAGGGGCAAAAATGATCATAAAACGATCATAAGCCCAGTTGCTGCAAGCCTGGTATTACTAAATCAAGTAATTAAATGATTCATTATCTTTTTAAGTGGAAAACTTTGCTCAATATGTTGCATCTAGATACATTTGGCTTTCTACTTTACGATTTGTTTGAAAAATATATGAAGCATGCAATTATATTTTGGTTAAAATGAACAGGCAGAACTTTTACTTTTCTTCCATTAAGAGCTGTTCTAAACTTCAAAACGTATAACCAAATTATTATTCCTATTAATGTTTGACTGCGTGTTGTCTTCTGAGTTGAGGAGTATTTCCTTGGTCTTAAAGTTGCTCCATTTCTCTCTAAGCTGTCCATGTATTTTATAAATGTACCATTACCCTAGCTATGAGTGCAATGTGAGTTCATTTCCAAATCACACAGCCAAGACTCATTCTTCTAAGGGTAACAAAAGAACAGCCATTATTTTCCACTAGGTAAATACTATCATGCCATACGCTAATTTATTTTTCCAATTTTTCCCAATTTATTCCAATTCATCCAATATGATGAATTTCAAATCATCTTCAAGTCTCAGTAACATAGTACCACATATACAGATAATAAATAATGTTGACCATCTTTTCCAGTTCCTCACACCTGCCATGCTCCTTCCTGCCATGGGGCCTTTGTGTACTATGCAATTCTTTCTGCCTAGAATGTTCCTCCTTTCCTTTTGTGCCTCCTTAACTTCTCCTCCATTCTATCTCAGCTTCAGTTTCACCACCTCAGGAAGTACTCCACGCCCTCCTGATCACATCGAATTTCCCTCTCATAAGGTCTAAGCTCTAAGTCCTTCTCCTTTGTAGCACTTGACACAGTTGAAACTGTATGTTTGCTCGTCTTCCTCAACATCTGTTTTATCTGCTTGTTACACTTTTTATCCCCTGATATACCCTAGTGTCAAACACACAGAGCTAATAACTATTAATTGATTGACTGAATTAAGATTTGTACCTCTCAACTGATGTATTTTCTTCAGCTTCTATTCTTCATGACCACTATTAAAAATATTTGAACATTTTTGCTTACATAGAAGCAGATTGATAACCTCATTTAATACATCACATTTATATAGCATCTCCTATGTGGAATTAGAATAATTTATACTGAAAACTGGAAGTTGAATGGATTTTGGGATCAGAAAGATCAGGGTTGGAATTCTAGCTTGGTCCTTGGATGCTGTGTGACTCCAGACTGATTACTTAACCCCTCAGAACTGTTTCTTTGCCCCACCCATAACTGAGAAAAAAAATTTTCATTTGTAGGATGGTTATGATCATGAGATGTGGCACTATACATGAATGCTGGGTACATAGTATCACTGGGAACACGGCCTACTGCTTGTATGCTTGCTTCCATTTTAAGGCATAAAGTGGAAGTTCTAACATTTAGTAAGGCTATTAAGTGAATAGTGTAATCCCTACATTTACCATGAAGATCTCACTTTCCAAAGCTAATAATTAGCAACTTCTAACAGACAATGCCTCATTTATCCTGTAACAATAATCACCAAATGAAGAATAAATTTACAGTGTTAAAAAAATTAAGAAGTTTCTCTTACGTATCAGCTACGGAAGAGCTTCAGGCAGCAAAAGTGGAAATAACTAGGGAAATATATCAATTTTCCCAATGACCACCGCTGCTGAAAACTCCACATTAATGCTTCTAGTCCTACTTTAATATCTTTCCCCAAGGACAAAAAGAGATGAAATGTATGTCAGAAATATAATAAGGCTAAAAAGGAACTCGTTTTCAAAACCCCTGCAATTAGTTTAATAAGTGGGCCTAACCTGCCATTATCCCTGACATAAATCATTTTATTTACACAGTTCCAGAATTTAGGAGACACATGCCTTTATACAATTGTATTGCATTATAAACAATTTAATAAATATGAGGGAAGCACAGTTTCCCTGTCATAGCTCTCCATGGTATATTTTGTCTTGGACACTTTTCGCACTGCAGCTAAAACAGCATTCTCTATTCCTATGCCAAAATAAACTCCAAATGGTCTAAATATGTGAAGAACCTTGTGCTATCCAACCCTACCACAGCTTTTAATCTTTCCACATCATATTAGGTAATTAAATCAGGATTCTATCACGTCTCTGTTTTTCTAATTTTTCACAACAGTGCAGCCACCATGTTTTATTTCAAAGGCCTCCTGGAGACATGGCAGGGCTCGCCACAAAGGTAAAGCTTGTACTCTTTTACCACAAAGGAAGAGCTACTATTTAGCATCACAGATTGTGTTCTGTTCCCCAGTTATAACCTCTCAGTAAGCACATGCAGCTGGATTTTTGTTGTTGTTACTGAACAAAGCAAGTTGAGCACTATACAACATCAACATCAGTGAAACAAAAAAGTCTTCAAAGCAAGCTAGGGTAGAAGTGGAAGATGTTGCTATTATACATTTTCATCTCATTATGACAAAAATAGCTGAATTCCCGGGCATCTCATGATCCGTTCATTATATTCCTCATCTTTAATATATCATGTTTCATATTTAAAATGGAAATGCTCTAAAAATATTTTTCTCTTATGCCTATATGTGTTGAACACATTTTTCACTCTTACTGATACATGTGTGTGTGTGTGCACACACGTGTGCACAGCACATGGAGAAACACACTTGAGTCTTTCAAAATGTGTAAATAAAACAGAGTACATTTTAAGACATCTGAGTTGTCTCGAGTATTATCACCAGTAAATAATCACAATATTATTAAGATCGTGGTGTGAATGCCTAAAAGGACACTTTCAGTAAAAGCTTTATTTTACTCTGCATTCAGGTATTATGTTAAATGATTGAAAATTATGTCCTTGAAGATAATTTGCTTTTTTCACTATTTATTTTCCAATTCATTTAACATTTAAAGATGACCTTGAAATGGGAAAAAATACCATTGACCCCCCGCCAATGTTTCTGTTGTACATTAAAGAGAAAATGCCAGATAAATCGTCTGTTATTTAAATGGAATGTCATTTATTTTTATCTCTAAACATTACACATTTAGAAAGTTTACATAGAAACCTTACATGCTAAAATATGTGATGTTCAAAATGCCATAAAAGTATGTCTCAAAAACACATATGATATTGCTATTGTATGTGGCTCAACATGGAACTCAGTGATTCATCAATTTTTCTATTTCTTTTCATCTCTTTTACAGCATCCTAATCAACCTAATTAAGGCTTTGTTCATCTGAAACCTCTGATGACAATTTGTTTAACTCTATCCCACTGTGGTCTTCTTATAAGGAGAATTAAATCTGATCTTC